CTCTGCAAGAGTGGCCAGTGCTCTTAACTGCTAAGCCAATTCTCCAGCCCCCAATTTATTTATTTTTGAGACAAAGCTCCACTATCTAGCTCTGAACTGGAACTCACTATGTAGACCAGACTGGACTTGATCTCACAGAGCTCCATCTGCCTCTGCCTCCCAAGTGCTGGGATTACCTAGTTTATGTACAGGTTTGGAAACAGGATAGTAACACCAATTTTGATTCTTTGACAGAATGAACTATTAAACTGTTAAACACATTATTCAAATCACATCCTTTACTAATATTTTGAATTGATATTTGTGGGAAAGAGTGTTCAGTAAAGCATAGACAACTGCTGGACAGGAAACCATGAGGCCTGACTGGAACCCCTACTCCAGCTTTACTCAATTCTGGGATTGATTATCTCTGTCTTTTAACAATAGAGGATCATGAGAACTCTACACAGATGAGTGACATCACTATTCTATGAATTTGTATTGCTGTCCAATAAGGAAGATTGTGTTTTTCAGTGCCTGGGTTGTGACCAGGGCCTGGCACATTTCTGTACAAATCCTCTCTGAGGCGTTGTCAGTGCCAGGTCTCTCTCTTTGTGTCCGCTTCTTCCTTCCTCTCTCTCAAGTCTCTGCTCTCCCCTCCTAACTCTCTCCATTTCTGTTTGTAAAAGGAGTTAATTGCTAATTTGTCTCTTCTGGGGATATTAATGAATCAAAAGTACATAGAGTGGTGGTCACTCTGCAGATTCCAACTTCTATGCTTTAAAATCTATAATAATGGCTGGGCAGAGTGGTGCATGCCTTTATCCCAGCACTCTGGAGGCAGAGGTAGGTAGATCTCTGTGAGATCAAGGTACCCTGGTCTACATAGTGATTTCAAGGTCATCTGGGGCTATAGGAAGACCCTGTTTAAATATATATTTTTTATATATATATATAATCATGGCAGTGACCCAGAGAGGAAAGTCTTAACACTCAGAGGGAAAGGAAATTCTATTAATATTTGTAGCTAACTGAAGAGGAAAAAGAAAAAGTAGGAAAACAATGACAGGAAGACTGCATCTGGAGTGAACTCATCAAATAAAGATGTTCAGTATTACAAACTCCTCCCTCCCTTCATTCCTCCCCTCAAGAGGCTCTGCGATCTAAGGACAGTATTAAAAAAGTACTCCTTTCCGGTTGAATGTGGGTAGGCTCGAACTCATACTTTGAGTGGTCTATAATTCACTAAGAGCAGGAAATTTTGCAAAAGTACTAACTAGTGCTAAATAGTAATTAGAGAACCGTCTCAGCTGGGATGTACCTCAGGGCAGAGCACTTGATGCACATTCCCACAGCTCTAAGTTTAATCCTCAGCACTTGGATAAAAAAGAAAAGACCGCCAACATTCTCTAACACAGGCAAGAAAACAGTATGAAAAGTAAGACATTAAGAAATATGTTGAGGGAAAAATAGTCATTGAAATAACAAAGACAATCTGAAAGAAATATAGACCCATGAAGAAAATAGAGGAAATCTTTGTCAGTGTGTCCCACTACTATCCAAAGGAAAGAGCATCACTGAAATGAAGACCAACATACTCCGTTAGGTAAAGATGCATTTGATGGACCATATTTAACCCAACAGAACCTACTGCAGCTTAAATTGCATGTGCTCTATCAAATTCCCTTGGCTCTGATTCAGAAATAGAAAATGTACATATGCAATTCCTAATTTGGTTTCTAAGTATTGATAAGTAGGTGCCTTGGGTAATAGACATGCCATTTCAGTCATAGGAATGCAATCTCTACTGTAAATTAATGAACTGTTTAGTTTGTTTCTAAATCATTCTCTTGGATACTGAACAGTGCAAACTGATTTCCTAGGGTCCTATTCCCTAGGAAAATGTGACTAGTAAGGCTACTAAATATAAAAACCTTAACACCATGCCTCAGTGGCCCCAGAAAGCTAGAGCACTCAATGACACCCCAGCCAGAGCTGTCATCTGAGCTAATCATTTCACCCAGGACTGCTCAAGGCCAGGTTAAAAATTTCTAGAGGAATTCCAGGTGTGGTGCACGCCTTTAATCCCAGCATTTGGGAGGCAGAGGCAGGTGGATCTCTGTGAGTTCAAAGCCAGCCTGGTCTACACAGTGAGTTCCAGGACAGCTGGGGCTACAGGGAGACCCTGTCTCAAAAAGACCAAAAAAAAATCTGGAGGAGCTAGTGTGGGAGCTTAAGCCCTCAGTACTTCCCAAAGTTGAAAAGCAGAAGAGACCAGAATCCATAACTCACATGTGGAAAATCTTGGGGGTCAACTTTCTGAAGCTCAGCTGTCATTATATTCCTGGGACTAAAATGGTTGGTTGGTTGGTTGGTTGGTTGGTTGGTTGGTTGGTTGGTTGGGTAGGTTGATTGGGTTGGTTGGTTGATTGGGTTGGTTGGTTGGTTGGTTGGGTAGGTTGATTGGGTTGGTTGGTTGGTTGGTTGGTGGGTTGGTTGGGTAGGTTGATTGGGTTGGTTGGTTGGTTGGTTGGTGGGTGGGTTGGTTGGTTGATTGGGTTGGTTGGTTGGTTGGTTGATTGGGTTGGTTGGTTGGTTGGTTGGTTGGTTGATTGGGTTGGTTGGTTGCTTGGTTGGTTGATTGGGTTGGTTGGTTGCTTGGTTGGTTGCTTGGTTGGTTTGTTGGTTGGTTGGTTTTCTTTTTATTTTTTTTTTCTTTAAGTCTCTGGGAGTTCATTTGCTTTTTTGTTTGTTTGCTTCTTTGTGTTTTCTAGAGAAAGGGTCTCACATAGCTGATGCTGGCCTCAATCTAAGCACCCAAGAATCATCTTGAACTCCTGATCTTCCTGCCTCCACAACTCAAGTACTGAGAATAAAGGTATGCATGAACCAAAATTCCTGGCTTTAAAATGTTTGGAGTTTCCTGGGTTGGAGGGGTTGTTGTTGGAGGTGGTTGTGGTTTGGGGGTTCCTGAAAAATTCACAGCCAACATTTGTTTACTTGAAAGAGGACAAAATGGAGCTGGAAACATAGCTCAACAGAAAGTGATTGACTCCCATGAGTGAGGCCTTAGTTCAATGCCCAGCACCACAAAAGAAGGCAGCTGGGAGGGTAAGGGGGCCTGAAAGGGAGGGAAGGAGGAAGATCCGATGCACAGCTTCATTCTCCACCCTCACAGCTCCAATTAGATGAAAAAGAAATATTATGAGACACTCTTAGACCAAGAATCAAGGTGATTATTATAGAATTCACACTCTGGAAGCCAAGCCTAGTGGTGCATATCTTTAATCCCAGCACTTTGGAGACAGAGGAAGAGAAATATCTGTGAATTTGAGACCAACCTAGTCTACATAGTGCGTTCCAAGTTAGCCACTGCTACACAGTGAGACCTTGTCTCAAAAAAATTTCACATTTTGGGGCATCCAGCCAGTATCAGGACCATCTGTCTATGATGTCTTGTTTTGTTGAGACAAGGACTTGGTATGTAGCCCAGGCTGGCTTTTAGCAATCCTCCTGCCTCAGCCTCCTGAGTACTGGAATCACAAGCATGTACCACTATGGCCTTCTCCATGTCGTACATCTTCAAAATGATTATCAGATGCTTGCCCTCCCAGACCCCTGCCCTAGGGCAGAATGCTACTCTGCACAGGGTGAAGATAACAGAACCAATTAGGGAGCGTCACATGTTCCCTGTTAATCTCGAACTCCTCCTAAGCAAATATAAATTGTTACAGAGAAAAAGTCAATCAAACCATATCAATCTTCAACATCCTATCTCAAGGATTTTGTTTTCATTTGTGTGTGTGCATGTGTTCTTGTATGTGTGCATATGTTTGTGTGCAGATGATGCACGTGGAGGCCAGAGGACAATGTCAGCTATTGCTCCTCAGGGACTGTCCATCATGCCTTTGTTTTTGTGGGGGGTTTTCTTTCTTTCTTTCTTTCTTTGGTTGGTTGAGTTTGAAGTTTTATGCTTTGGTTTTGTTCTTATTGTTTTTGTTTTCAGACAGGGCCTGTTATTGGCCAGGAAATCACAAAGTAGCTAGACTGGCTGGCCAGGGAGCACAAAGGAGCCGCCCACCTTCCCCTTCCTGCCACTGAGATGGCAGATGCTGGCCACTAGGCCTTTTGCACCTTGGAACTGGGGTATTGAATTCAGGTCTTCCTGCTTGAAAGGAACAGAGTGACAGACGAAGACAACCAATAACACACACATACACACACACACACACACACACACACACACACACACACGTATGCCCGACATAATACATACACACATGAGAAAAGAAATAAAAAGAAAAGAAAAAACTGAGCCAATATTTTCTAAAAGTTTCTGAACTAGCAATGCACCTAATTCAATAAATACTCTTCCCAGTGTAGGTGTTTCCAGGAAACTCCAGCATGTTCTGAAAGGAGTCAGTGGTTATTTTACAATGGTTATAGGAAAAGCTTTCAGGGCACAAAGCTCTGGTTATATACTTTGTCTAAAAACCCAGAAGGTATCAGATGGTTTAGATTTTGCTGGTCAAATGCAATTACTCTTCCCAGCCACCACAGCAGCAGCACAGCTACAGACAGTAAGTGAGCGAAAGTATGTGCTGACAAACTTTAGTTACAAAGTCGCTACCAGAGAACACAGTGTCTCCCTATTGGTCACGTCTCCACTTAAGAACTTTTCCAGGGCTAGAGAGATGGCTCAGCAGTTAAGAGCACTGACAGCTCTTGCAGAGGACCCGGGTTCAATTCTCAGCACCTACATGGCAGCTAACACCCGTCCCTAACTCCAGTTCCAGGGGATTCCATGCTGTGTTCTGACCTCTGAGGCATTGTATGACACAGGTGCACTTGCATACATGCAGGCAATACGCTCATATACATAAAACTATTCAAAAAAAAAAAAAGAACTATTCCATTACTTTTCTAATTTCCGCAGTCTCCTTCTCCAGATCCCTTCAGTTCCATCTCACCTCGATGCTAACTCCTGACTGTCCATTCTCTAGGTAACATAACCCCCACAGATGGAAACCGTCAACTACACCTTCTTGACCCAGTTCATCCTGACAGGAATTCCCTATCCACCCAGGCTAAGGACATTCCTCTTTGTGTTCTTTTTGGTCATCTACATCCTGACTCAGCTGGGGAATGTGCTCATTCTGATCACTGTCTGGGCAGACCCACAGCTGCATGCCCGCCCCATGTATGTCTTCCTTGGTGTCCTCTCCATCATTGACATGGGCATCTCCACTATCATTGTCCCTCGCCTCATGATGAACTTCACTTCGGGCATCAAGCCCATCGCATTTGGTAGCTGTGTGGCTCAGCTTTATTTCTATCACTTTCTGGGCAGCACCCAGTGCTTCCTCTACACGGTGATGGCCTATGACAGGTACCTGGCAATATGTCGGCCCTTGCACTACCCTGTGCTCATGTCTGCTAAGCTGAGCGTCATGCTGGTGGCTGGAGCTTGGGTGGCTGGCTCCATCCATGGGGCCATTCAGGCCATTCTAACCTTCCACCTGCCGTACTGTGGGCCCAACCAGGTAGAATACTTCTTCTGTGACATCCCTGCAGTTTTGAAGCTAGCCTGTGCGGATACCCTAGTCAACGAGATGGTGACCTTTGTGGACATCGGAGTTGTGGTTGCAAGTTGTTTCTCTATGATCCTCATCTCCTACATCCAGATCATTTGGGCCATCCTAAGAATCCGCACAGCTGATGGGCGGCGCAGGGCCTTCTCAACCTGTGGTGCCCACATAACTGTGGTGACCGTTTACTATGTGCCCTGTGCCTTCATCTATCTGCGACCTGAAAGCCACAGCCCCCTGGATGGGGCAGCCGCTCTGTTCCCCACCGCCATCACTCCTTTCCTAAACCCCCTCATCTACACTCTGCGGAACCAGGAGGTGAAGTTGGCTCTGAGGAGGATGATAGCAGGTCAAAGGACTAAGAGTGAAGTCTGAGGCGCCTCTCCTCAGCTAGGGAAACCTCCAGGATTAAATTTACTCTCCTGTTTAGCTTTCACTGAGGAGTCTTTCTTGATTCTTCTCTTTTATGTAGTTACATCAAATTCACACAATAAAAAGAAAATGTAAGGTAAACTACAACTTCCTAGCAGATCCTTCATTTCCCCTCCAGACGGGCAGTCTCCAGCTGCCACAGAAGACTCCTCTTCTGTGAGACCTAAGCCTCCCAAGGGGACACCAAAAGGTGACACATTATGCATCCAGAGGACTGATATTCTGAAGGTATCCACTGAGCTATTTGTTGTCCTGGTTATCATCTGTCAAGCCCTTCTAAGATAAACTATATTTCCAATTGGGCTTATACCTCAACAGGTCATGTTAGACAAAGGACTACAGATGCCTTGCTGTGTTCCTAACTGGAAATTCCTGAGACCACCTCAGGTGTGTGGAGAAGAACTCTTGCCTGAGAAAGTAATAAACCTTCTCTTAAACAGGTGCTTTAACAAACAAACCAAATTAAACAATCCAGAAGAAAGAATGCAATAAAGTCTTCTCAGTTGTTTCAAGAATAAGTTTCACTTGGGGCCCAAGAGATAGCTCAGCAGTTAAGAGCACTGGCTACTCTTACAGAGGACCCAGGTTCAGTTCCCAATACCCACAACAACCGTCTGTAACTCCAGTTCCAGAGGTTCCTGATGCCCTCTTCTGACCTCCTCCGGCATTGCACAACACAGGTACACTTAATACATGCAGATAATACGTTTACAGACATAAATATAAAAATAATAGAATATTTTTATGTGTATGAGTGTATTGCCTGCATGTATGTAAGTGCGCCTGTATTATGTAGTGCCTGCAGACAGAAGAGGTTGTTGGATCTCCTGGAACTGGAGTTATGAACAGTTGTTAACCACCATGTGGGATTGGAACTCAGATCTTCTACAAAAACAGCCAGTGCTCTTGAACTGCTGAGCCCTAAATTAAAAAAAAAAAATTTTAATTGTGCTTGATAGCTTTAGTGTTAACTTGACACACCTGGGTTGAGGGAGCCTCCATTGGGGAATTGCCTCCATTGGACTGGCCTGTGGCCATGTCTGTGGGGCATTTTCTTCATTATTGAGTGATGAAGGAGGGCCCAGCCCACTGTGGGTGGTGCCACCCCTGGGCAGGTGGGCCTGTGTTGCGTAAGAAAGCAGGCTGAGCAGGGGCCAGAGAGCAAGCCAGTAAGCAAAGTTCCTCCATGGCCTGTGCTCCAGCTCCTGTCTCCAGGTTCCTGCCTTGAGTTCCTACCTTGGGCTCCCTGATGAACTGTGACCCGGGTGATGTAAGCCAAATAAACCCTTTCCTCCCCAAGTTGGTAGTGGTCAGTGTTTTGTTACAGCAACAAAGAAACAAACTAGGACAACAATTTTACATGATAGGTAGATGAGAAGACCTTTAATGAAGCCAGGAGTGTGGCACACATCTACAATCTGGGCACATGGGAGGTAAAGACAGGAGGATTAGGAATTCAAAGCTAGTTTAAACTTCAGGGGATTCCATGTGATGGTACTGCAGTAAAGAAAAAACTTCACTCTTAGAATATAATTTTTAAAAGTGAGCTTGATCTGTTCTGAGGTGTTCTAATTCTTCTTAAAACTGTTCTCTCAGAACTGTGCATTGGATTAATGGGTTTCCGCTCATATTAATTGAACAGCATTTCAAGCATGGTATGGAAAAGGCTTGAGCAATCTTTGGCTTTACAGAGACCACATGTTTTTCTGATTCTTCTGAACAGAACAGCACACAAAGCCACAGACAGGTGTCACCAACTGATGCTCATGTGTCGCTTTTGATATTTGTAGGGAACACATTTTCAGCATCATTTTGTTAACAACATCACCATTGCCACATCTCATGCACAAATCCATTGTTCTGAGTCCAGACATAACAGAGTCATAAGGAAATAGGGAACACGGTAGAAGAGTAAAGCTGCAGATTCAAGCTTGTAAGAGTAATTCCATCAGGATTTCAAATCATTGTAGAACTGAGTACATGGTTTTTCTTTCATCAATAGTTTTTCAATATTTCATTATTTTTTACTTTTATGTATATGAGTGCATTGCCTGCATGTATGTAAGTGCACTCACGTTGTGCAATGCCCAAGGAGGTCAGAAGAGGGTGTTGGATCCCCTGAAACTGGAGTTACCAAAGTTTGTTAGCTGTCATATGAGTTCTGGGATTCAAACCTGGGTCCTCTGCAAGTCAGTGCTCTCAACTGGTGAGCCAACTCTCCAGCCTCACATTGTTTTTCTTAAAGATCGGTTAATTCTGAACAAGCAGAGTACTCCATATGTGAACAGAAGAAATACATAATTCTAAATAATCTCAAAATACATGAAAAACCAGGCTTGGTGTTGCACACCTTTAATACCAACACTCCAGGGGCAGAGGCAGGTGGAGCTTTGTAAGTTTGAGGCCAGCCTGGTCTACATAGTTCTAGGCCAGCCAGGGCTAGGTGGTGAGACCCTGTCTCAAAAACCAGAAAAGAAAAAATTCCTATGATTAACAAGATTATATGAAAGTTCAATTTGTAAAGGCTCGTTACAAAGAGTTATTCCTGGCACTAGCCAGAGGCAGACATGCAAGCTTGCCCTATTGCAGAGGCGGATGCAGGAAGCAGTCTCAACATAGTGGAGGGCACTGGGGTACTGCCAGCTACCTCTCTTGGAACACGGGGCCATGCAGAGGGCACAACCAGAAGGTGGCTGTGAACGTCCCACCATGGGGCATCCTCTTGCACCTGTCTTGTGGGGGCCCAGCCTTCAGGCAGACACCAGGCTGTGCTACCATGGTCAGAGCGCCATCATCTCCCAGGTGACCAACCCCAAGGAGGAAGAGCACCAAATGTTGGATGCAAGCAAGAAAGGACTTGGCAAGAAAGAAAATGGCTAGAGACCCAAGGTGGAGGTGGCAGTTTACTGCTCTTGCCAAAACATGACTCCAGTAAGATGTCTTATTACTGGCTCCCTGTGGCCAAGGAAGAAGATGTGAAGGAAAGAAACAAAAAACAAAACAAAACAAAACCAAAAAAAAACCCACGTGATCCATCTGTATCCTTGTGCAAAAGTGAAAAGTGGTATTCTCCTCCCAACTGCAGAATGAGCTCTCTGCCCAAAATTCAAAGGTTGGATTGAGTAAAACTGTAATCCGATTATTGGGTTAGTGACTATTATGTTTTTTTCTAATTTTATTATTATTTTTACTTTTTTATGTGTATGAGTGTATTGTCTGCATGTATGTGAGTGCACCCGTGTCGTGAAATGCTGTGGAGATCAGAAGAAG